ACGCCACGGCGACGGAAAATAACCGGTCGTGATGAATTGAAATTTCGCAAGTGGGAAAGTTTTTCGTCGGCGCAACAAATTGATTACAGTCATTTCCCGATCGAGTGGCCGCTAATTACGTCGCCGCGTTACGCCGGAGCACGGGAGACCGCTAATTAACCCGTTATCCCTGCAACCGTCGGCTTCTCTCCTGTATACTTACGTAATTCGCGGCGACCGGACCTGCCCGCGCGCGAGGGCTTTCATTTACAAAGTTTATCAAGGCGATGTGATTACAAGGCCATTGACGTGGCGCGCTATCGCGCGGACCCATTTACCTACTTTCCGACCGTCAACGCGGCTGCACTCTTCGACACAGGACGTCGTTCGTAATGCGCTAATCGAATGCGGTGGGTGACCCTCCCCGTTGGATCGACTGCGTTCGCAGCCGATCGCAGTTTGCGGCGATCGACAAAACTTACCGTCTCGAGCTGCGCGTTACGTCGCCATCTCTATGCAAATTTTATTCGACGACTCTCCCGGGAGAGGGTTTCAGGCTTTCAATCTCTCGAATTAAACTCCGTTGAGGTTCATTTCCGAGGTGGGAAAATAACGTATCGCCCACTGGCTGAAATTTAAGTCGAAGCGAGACGATTTCACGACTGTGCGGCTAGACCTGCATTTTGTCTTACAAACGAAGACTCGACATTTCCCTCGGTGTCTTCGTAAAACTTTTCTTAAATTCGGGAATTTTATAAACTACATGTGCACACGCGGGAAGAATAAGCAATCATTCGAGATACAAGGTCGGGCCGGAATCAAATCTTCGCAATTTCTCCACCTCTCGCGCGACAAGTGAAGTTTTCTAACCGAGAAATTCATTATTAAAAGTATTGTCCGTACGAGCCGACTATGAATTCCCATGGGAGGGAAAAGGCGTGGAAAATGCTGAAATACCTGGCCCCTGGCATGACACACATGTACCCCGTGGGGACGCGTTACAAAGCATAACGAGAAGTAAAGCGTCACGTTTTCCTGTCAGCGGCGAAGTTCATTGTACCCTGTAACGAGGGCTAAAAATAGCCGGCAAGCAGGACGGAAAAACAGTGTCGAATCGAGCGTTTGTCCCTGCAAAAATCTCACGAGTCCCTACTTTTTGGCGTGCGCCTCCGAGAGGTGCGCGGGAGATGTTATTTTCGTCGGCTCATCGGGTTTCTCGCGAAATCGCGAAACGCCGCTAATTACGGAGGGCAACTGGCCGCTCGTGTCGGAGAGGTTTACACGCGCTTCATGCAAAGTGGCTGATTACAGACGCTGATTATGCAATTAAATAACGATCGCGTTAAGGTCGGAAAGCTACGCGGCCCGATTAGCGTTGATCCGACACGCTTCTCGACAGATCCACTTATATTCAACGTGTCATTATAATTTTTCGATATTTTCTTCGTCGACCGTTCCGTCTACGGTAAAAGGGAAAATACGGTAACGAAAGACCTTGCTGTTACAAGAAACTTGGTAGCTTATTTGGTGGGGGGGGGGGGGGAAGAGGACCAATGCGAGCCAAGCGCAAGTATTCGTGCGAAAATATCCAACGTGAAACTTTTTGTTCAAACAATTTGGTTTCATGAATATGCTGTTGCAATAGTGTTCCAATTATTGAAAATTTTTGTGCACGTAAATTTTGTGCGTCACAATGTGAGGACATTTCGAACCACTTCACTTTTGGTTACCACGTGATTAGTAAGGTGGAGGATGGAAATGTAGTTAAATTTTACTATTATTGCGATTGTATTTACTACGCAACAATAATTAACTAATTTACTATTCATTACGTTCGAGCCCAGCTACCACAGTGCTCACACGTATGCATATATTTTATAACTTGACTCTTATTCGACGACGATTACTGACTTTGTATCGAAAAGGACCCAAAAGAATAGGATCGAAACGTTATGTAATAAACTAATTGAATAACTAGCCAGTTGGGTTGACTATAAGTTTCCCGTCTCAATTACTATTCATTACCTGGATATTTTAACAGAATAACAGCTTTAAAAGTTTATATTTTATAGTAATTTTTTTAAATAGTTGTCATTACTGTGTCTATATTGTTGCTATTACTAATATTATAGTAATAATTATTACAAAAATGATATTCCTGACTGTAATTACCATGCAATTATAGTTTCAAATACTACATACTTTTCCATCAGTGTAGTCTTATACCAATTAAGTAACGAATATACGGCGATGATACCATGCCTGTGCGCGCTTAATATACGCCGTTTACCAACGTTCGAGCGCGTGTCTACTCGCGTAGACATGGGCGTCGCGACGCGACGGATGCTCGAGTCTAAATGTGTCCCTTTACATCCTACGGAAGTCAATGCGATTTGCTATTACAAGTTTTCGCATTCTTCGAACGCGAAATTTATTCTCTCTACGCAAATTTTATTCGACGACTCTACCGGGAAAGGGTTTCAGGCTTTCAGTCTCTCGAATTAAATTCCGTTGAGGTACATTCCCGAGGTGAGAAAATAACGTATCGCACGTTGCCTGAAATTTCAGTCGAAGCGAGGCCCGACTTAATTTTGATGTCCTATCAAACTTCCGTTTTATATAACATTCCGAAAGAAATCGCGTTACGGAGGGAATTTTCTTTTAAAATTTATCCTGAAAATTGTGTAATCGTGGTACAACATGACATTTCAAAGAATTTTACGGGAGTTTCCTGAAATTTTACCATGCATTCCACTACACGGAGAAAATTTTCTTTTAAAATGTATCCTGAAAATTACGTAATCGTGGGACAACACGACATTTCGAAGAATTTTATGAGAGTTTTTGAAACCATACAGTTTGTATGGTTTTAAAATTACAAAAAAAAAACGTAAAGTTGTTTAAAATGCCACGTTGTCTCACGATCACAAGATTTTCAGGATAAATGCTGAGAGACAATCCTCTCCGCGCTCGTATCTTAATTTTTAATAGTCCTCCGTCAATGTTGCCGAGTCCGACTTTTCGCGTTTCTCGTGAATCGCGATTTGTTTCTACGGCTCGAGGACGGAGAGCGGCTGAAGAATTTCGAGTCGCCTGTGGCAAAAATAAACTTGAAATGTCCAGGGCCAACGTAGGCCCGCATATCAAAATTCCGATAAGGCGAAAGAGCGGCAGTTTATTTTCATTCGCGCCTTTACCGGCGCCTATGACGATAGGTGCGCTAACACACGCGTCGGGCCGAGCGGATGGGAAAAAGACGATTCTCCGTCGTAAGGATTTTTTGCTACGATCTATCGCTCGCGTTACGGCGCTTAAGCTGTCGGCGCGAGCGTCACGATCGTTTTACGCGCGCATTAAAACATGGGACACCTACAACAAGCCGTCATAAATGCTTTAACGTTCACTCGATAAACACTTTTCGATCCAACGCGCGTCTAGGTATATTAGATATACAGGGTGTTCCAGGAAGAAAGGTCAATACTCTGGGAGGTGATAGCATCGGTCATTTTAGGCAAAAATGTTCATATGACTATACGTCCCATTCCCCACTGTTTCCGAGATAGAGCTACTTTAATGTCTCGTGTAATTACTTTTTTTTTCTGTACACTTCGCCCTTTTCATCCAACCTCATAAACGTCTACGGGAAATTACTCTTATACGTCTGGTGACTTTTGTGCCGACAACATTGTAGAAATGTTCAAAATGCCTCGCACATTCGCAAATGTCGAAGTTGCAGATATGCTGTGTGTTTACGGTTTCTGTGATGGTACTGCTGCCGTTGAAGAACACCGACGCTTTCCTACACGCAGAATTCCGAATCGTAAAGTGTTTTCCAAGGTTCTCAATTGCGTGAAAGTGGAACGCTTCCCAGTGTTCATGTTTTATCTGAACGAGGACGTCAACAAAATGTGCTCTATCTCGGAAACAGTGGGGAATAGGACGTATATTCGTATTTTTGCTTAAAATGACCGATACTGTCACCTCCCAGAATACCGACCTTTCCTCCTGGACACCCTGTATAATAACAATTACAAAATCGCCGCCTCTTAATTAACGATAAATGTCCCCGACGAATTTCTCTCATCGACAAAAATGACCGAAATCACGCGCGACTCAATCTCAATCTGATTCGCGATCCGCAATAGTGTGACACGGGCTTAAGGCCTTGTAAAACTGACGTAAGCCTCGTGACGCGCGAGAAAAATTGTAAAGAGGGAACTTTTGTTCCTCAATTTTTTATTCCCGAGCGAGTCGCGAATGACGACTGAATCCCCTTCGAGGACGTAATCAACGGGTTTTGCGGAAACATTCGTTCCTAATCGCGACGCAAAACAGAGAGAAAAAAATACGCTCCTAATGGCCCTAATTTTCCCGATGACGGCAATCCGTGAGCGCGTTAAACGCGAAAGTAACGATTGCGAGTGCATATTGCGCGTTAAACCCAAAACGTTCAATCTCGCGGCTAAAACTGCGGGGCGACTTTACGCGCGTAATAAATGTCGCCCGGCCGAACTCTCGGTAATGAAAGCTCCGTTATAGGGTGCACCCGGGAAGGCCGTTTATACGTAGACGCACAATGCTCAGAATTGTACATTCAGCGCGCGCTAATCGACCGAACTCGATAACTGTTCTTGACACGTGTTACAACCTGGCGCGCAATTATTACACGTCATAAAACAATCCTTCGTCGCTATCGCGTGAGTTTTCTCAGTTGCCCTGTAATCGCCCCGTCGCTCTTCAAAGAACGACAACGGTGAAATTTCGAGTATTATTACGTCAAACGCATTCTCGTAAATATGTATATATATATATATATATATTTCTATGAAAGCCGCAAATCCTTTTGTCGCAATTACCTATTCGCTTAATTATTCCGCGTTTAATTATGCCGTATGCCGCGATATTAATTCCACGTGGCTGTGTACGAGAGTGCAATCGATAATTTCCCGCGGATAGACGCGCGAGCGTAAAAGCGAAAACGGCCAAGCGCGAATAAGATAGACAAACAATGCGAGACTCACCTTCTCTCGCTTTCAGGTACACGGTGTTCGCCACGATGTTCTCCAACTCCATCAATTCCAGCTTGATCGGATTTGTGCGACCGAATCGGGTGGGAGAAGAGGGGACCTCGTGGTCGACGGCGACGTCGGTGGGCGACGTCGGCGGCGGACGGGGCGGCGGTCGTGAGGTCGATCGTGAGGTCGGTCGCGGGGAACACGTTCGATTCTTGTCGCACGGGGTTGACGGGGCTCCTGTCAGACAAGCTCCCATCTGCGTCCCTGCGGACACCACCAAAGGGGTCCACGATCGGCCCTTCCCCCCCTTTCCCCGAGGATCGAGGCGAGCGAGGCGGATCTCGTCGGTGTATCTCGATACGGAAGCACCCGCGGCCCAGGGAAACCTCGATGCTGCGTCAGACGAATCTCCGTTCGATCGATCGACGGGCTGGACTCATTTGGAATCGATTCGCCACCCGGGAGAGAACGCCTCGAAACTGGGACCGCGCGTTCTTGCGATCGCTCAGCCCTCCTTGCCTCTCGCTGGGTTTCCCTTTAAGGAAAAACAGCGCCTGCTAGCTTAAATGAATTTCCGCGCGAAAGCCGGCGAGCAATTTCGACAACGCTTCTCGCTCGCAATTAGGCTAATTAGGATAAGTAGCCCCGGATGCCGAGGATGGCGAGGCGACGATCGAGAAAAACAGGCTCGCGTTAAGCGAAACGGTGAGAATCGTCGGATAATTTCATCGGAGAGCCCGGAACCTCCTCCATCTTTAATAGGCAAACTCACGGAAGAGGCTTTAACGCCGCTCGTAGATCGCTCAGCGGATCCACCGAGTCTCCGAGTTGGACGGAATTAGATCGTCCGCGCAATCGACGCTCGTAGTCGTCGGCGGATCCCCCGCGATCATTTTCACTTGTCAAGCCGCGATTAACGATCGTCGAATCCCCACGAACGCTCTCGTCGGCCTCTTCCTCAATCGGGCATTCCATCAATCCTCCCCCCGATGAAGACGACGAAGGCGTTTCGCGGGCATCGACAAGCGTGCTCTTTCACCACCGGCCTCTGTTCAGAATTTATCGTCTCTGTCCGGAGGCCCGGTCGGAATCGCGCCGCGGCGAGTAAGGGCCTCAGCAGAAAGATTGTCGTAACTGTCGATGATGCCGCCGTAAGACGTAAGTCAGTGTCGAAAGTCAACGCGCGAAGAATCGTCCGTATGTCACCTCGCGATGCAATGGACGCGACATACGTCTACGGCAATTCTTTGCGCGTTGACTTTCGACACCGACTTAAGGGGATCCTTAAAGCCGTCTGTTTTACCGACATTCTTTGTTAGAAGTAATCTTTTAGTTGGCTTTATAGAAATGCAAAACTCTTTTACGGAATTAAAGTGCGCAGCAAAATCTAGACTGTGCTGGTCGACTTTATATAAAAAACGAAAAAAATTTTTTATTTTACTAATTTTTGGTACACTTGACGACACTATTTGCTTGATACAAGAATTCTACAATAAATATATACAAAATGAGACCAACACACTCTAAGGACAACATATAAGAACAATATCGTGCAATTAGAACTAAGATTAATAGCCTAGAAAAAAAGATTACTTCTAATAAACGCAAGTCCAGAAATCCAAGTCTAGAAGAAGAGAAAAAGATAGTTGCAGGCTTTTTCGAGAGAGATCGCTACCAAATATCTGTCAGATTGTCAGTAAAGCCGTGGTATTGACGATGCTAGAATTCGATCCAAAATCTCGGTCTGAGCAATGTGTAGCTAATAAAATTGCTGCTTTTTCGTACAAGGTGCAGATTGATTGGCTATAAATTTCTCGAACCGAGTAGAACTTGGGATTAAAAATGTCGATAATCAACGTTCTTAATTCCGTCTTTTATCTTATCGACACTGATCGAGTTCGCCAGCGGCTTTAGGATTCCCTTAAGGTCGAGAGATCGCTCGGCCAAAAACGAGAGCACAGCGACGTGGCTTGAACTCGCGCGCGTTGGACATCACGCGACAAGGCATTCCTTTATAGAACACATATATGTACATGTACAGGATGTTAACAAAAAACAGGTTCAGGGCTTCAAGAGGGCAGATAGTACTTGTGAAACGGAGCAAAGAGGTCCCAATAAACGTAGGTCGGAAAATTAATATTTTCAAAGCTATGGACAACCGGGAATATTTGAAAAGGGGTTCGCAATCACACGACACGAAGATGCGAAGCACGTGTGGAAACGCGTGTAGAAAACCTTTTCGTAAACTTGGACCTTTGAAGAATTCTTTTTTCTTCTCTCGAATAAATGGATTTACTTCAACCAAAATAAAGGAGTTGCCCTTAAAGTCCTCAACCCTTTTTGTCAACACCCTGCACAAAGCAGCGCGCTATATGGTACGTCGAGGCGTTAATGGACGAGGGGAGAGCTCGCGGGAGCGCGTGTCTCGACGTGGCCTCGCGAAAATAACGCGCGGGATGCGCCTCGAGAGAGGCGCCGCGTGCAGCCAAGTGCCTTTCACTCCTCCGACGCCCGGATTCAGCGGGGCTTGGAGGGGCGAAGGGGGTGTGGGGGAGGGAGAGGGCGAGGGGGTCAGCCGACGAAACGCGCGTTAACGGATGGCCGATCGCCGGCGAAACGCGGAGGTCTCGAGCGACGAATTACGGGGCACCGAATCTCGCGTGCGGGGCAAATTCACTCACTTCGCTCGGATCCTCTTCCGCGGTGCGGTGTGCCTGCTTTCTCCTCCTCCTCCGCCGCCTCCTCTTCCTCTTTTCTCCTCTTTTTTTTTCCTCTTCTTACGGTGCACACGCAGGGTGAATGACATCCGCCGAGAACGGCGGGCTCCTAATGGCTCTCCTCCTCGCGCATTTCATTTCTTCGCGCGTTCACCGGCGCGTCACTCGCGCGCACCGCCCCGCGGACTCGCTCCCGTGCACGCGCATCCTGAAAAAAACAATCGCGATTTCGGTTCGTCTTTGTATACTTACTGCGCGAATCTTACGGAGATCCCGGGACCTGATCGGCGGAGCCGGCTAACGCGTAGAACAAACCGCCCGAAAGACCTGTGTCCACGACGCTAGGAACTTGGTCCAAGTTCCGAGTCTTGGTTCTAGCTCCGAGAAATGCGTAGCCAATCGACTTGCAGCTTTTACGGAATAGCTGCAAGTTGATTGGCTACGCGTTTCTCGATACTACGCGGAGAGAGTTTTCTCTTAAAATTTACCCTGACAATCGTGCAATTATGGAACAACGTGGCATTTTCAAGAACTTTATGTGAGTTTTTTGAAATTATACCGTACTACAACGTGTACTAATTCCTAGTAAAATGTGTGGTAGAAAAAACTCAAAGTTATTTAAAATGTCACGTTGTCCCACGATCACAGGATGTTCAGGCTAAATTTTAAGAGAAAATTCTCTCCGTGTAGAACTTGGACACATCGTGGACACAGACGTGAATACGTCCCGTGGTCGCTCTTTAAGCTCGCGGTACACTACGTATTGTGTATCGTGGCTCGCATTTCAGTCAATCAGACGAGACAGCCTCGTGCCCGACTTGTCAAATTGCGAGCCGCAATACGTATTGTGTGACACGGGCTATTCGGTACATTAAAGGAAAATAACCACGTGTTTACGTTCGCTCGCGATCCGCTCGTCCTTGTCAGCTTAATCGGGATCCACCTTTCGAAGGTTCCGCTATTGCGTTGTCACCCGACCGGCACATTTCCAGCATTCGAACCAAATTTCAATTGATATTAATTATCCATTACGGTGCCATTATTCTCATCAATGCTATTCACACGCGCCAACTATTGCTATTATTTTAGAAACAATAAGCTCTCCCTATACACTGTTTACTGCCAAAATGTCACTTTACATACGAAATGTTAAAACCAATGTAGAAAAATTGCTAAACAACGCTAACTGGCAAATTCTAATTCTTTACGTTATCTATACACCTTGACCGAGTGATGGTGTCCAGATTGGGGAGGGGGGAGGGTAGGGAACGGGGATACTTAAAAATCGCGTTTCGTTAGTTCTGTGTACAGCCGACCATAGACATAGTAATACTAGACCGAGCGTGTTCTCTTTTAAGCAATGAAAGTTAGGTAGAAAGGGATAGGTGCCGTCAACCTTTCTCTTTTCATTCTTCTCATTAGAGAGAGAAAGGTGGACGGCACCTATTTTCCATTCTTTTCTACCTGAGCCTCAGGTCTGGCGTCTCATGCTCGGTTTAATATTACTGTCTGTGCAACCGACATCCCGGATCGGCGCGCAGTTCTAGTTGAAAAATAAACGAGAAGTCATCATCAGTACTGTTTATTGCGACAAATATTACCACATGCCTCACACTGACAAAAAAATTTGTTTAACTAAGCAAATAGATTTACTTAAAATTAATTGTGTTTACTGAAGATAAAAATATCAAATTTCAAGTAAATCTGTGTATTATATTAAGTAAATTAATTTAAATCATTACATTTTCTACATTCAAATAAAGATTTCATGAGACAGAGAATACTATTTATTAAATGAAGTAATTGTGTTTGTCAAATAAGTTTCTTTGCTGTCAAACTTATATATCTTAGCAAACATTTTGTAGAATTAGAGTAAAATTTTGTTAATTTAAAATTATCTACTGTTTAATATTTAATAAATACTTAAATTAAAGAAATGAAAGTTTGAATTTGTTTATTTTTTTAATTTAAGTTAATAAGCTATTAGGAGCCACCTAATGAATAATTTTCTTGAGTAAAGTAATATTTTTTGGATTAAGATATATTTTTTATCAGTGCAGTGGTCGAATTAGTGAAACGCCCGCCTATAGCGTAGGGAAGTCCAGGTTGAAACCCAATAAATTCCTCTAATTAGAATTTGCTAGTTAGCGTTTAGCAATTTTTCTATGTTGGTTAATCGCGTATTAGCGTCAAATAATTCTTTACGCGAAACATCAAGAGTCAAGGATTAGATGTGAAAAGCAATAGAGACACTCGCGGAAATTATTAGGCGGATCGCGTCAAAGTGCCGAACGCAAAAAGCGACACGCCAGCTAATTTCGCAACGTATCCCGTCGCGTCGGCGGCCCTCATTAGCATTTTAAAGCGAACGCAACGGGATCGTATAACAGCACTCGCGCGAGTCCTCGTGTTTTTTCATCAATATTTTCTCAAAGTCTAAAAAATCCAAACGAATTCCCACCGCGTGAACTCGTCCGTCGCCGCTGGGCACACATGTGCGTACACATGAATGGCGATGCGTCGGACAGGTGCATCGACGTGGAGGGAAGGGAGGCGGGCGGGTGGAGACCGAGGACGAGGGGAGGAGTGGAGAGATAAAGATAACGACGCAACTAACGCGCCGCGTCGACGGCGACAGCCGACGGTAATCTAATAAGCGCCGCGGAATGCGCGTTATTTCCACGTATTCATATCCGGCCGAGGCTTTTACTGCGACTCGCCTGCGCCACCGCGGGGACATAAATTCCGCGTAACCGCGGAAACGCGGAGGAGGGTTGGGAGGGGGGGGGGGAGAGGGGATTAGAAAACCGGTACGGAATTAGATGGATTCACCGCTGCCCCGCGCCCCGCAAATTGGACTCTCGCGAGGGGCGGCCCTTTCCAATTATCCTCCCTTTTCTTTTCATTTTCCCGATATCGCGCTCCCTCGTCTCGTCCCGGCGCGGCCGATTCGATTAATTCTGCGTAACGGATCGCCCGAGGCTGGGCGAGCGCGGCGGAGAAGCGCGGCGCATCGAAATTGGAGCTTTTAACGGTAATGACCGGCCGTAAAGGGCGATCTTTCAAGCTGCAGCGAATTCTCCTTAACGTAAACCGCAAATAATTGCGGATTATTATTCGCGGTGTACGGGGCGTCGCGTGTGCGGAATACGAGCGTATTCGTGGCGATGCACGCCGCCCCAGCTGCACTCCCGTACGGACGCACGCTATTATTCATCCCTTTATTTTTATTATTACAAAAAAATACGCTGTTTGACATTTTTCGTTATTCACACCTGCGTACTTCGACGCGACGTTTCCGCGCGCATTATTCGAGATATGTCACGTCGGTTCCGTCGGCCGCGGAATTAAACGGCGTGCGAGACGCGCTCGGCGAGCCGCGTCTCTCCCACCCGGCAAGTTTTTTTTTTCTGTTTCCTCGCGGAAATATGATTGGGGCGGAAAGGGGTCTCTGAATGGCGAAGAGTGTTAGCCATTTGCGATGCATCCGTCCCGGCACGCTCCGGAATGCGGCGCGGTTTTCATGCCATTGTTCGGAGATACGCGACTGTAAATTGACGACACGACGGCGCGCGACGTGTCGAGCGTGTCTGGATTCCCGAGCACGCTAACAGAGTATCCCCGCTATTAATTGCGATCGCATTCCCACTCGGTGCCGTTCAATTCGCAGCGCAATTTCGTTTAATTGCCTTTTCAAACATAATTCCATCTCACCGCTAATATTTGCTCCGCGTCGAACGAGAGAACCGCCCAGAGAGCATTCTATACAAGTTCTCAATTCCTTTTTTTTTTAAGGCCCTTTCGGCATAATTAACGATTCCATCGCCTTCCACGAACTCGTCCTCGTTAGGTTTGCCTGCGTTTTTTTCCATCGCGCGGCGAAACCGCGTACATTTATTATCGGCGGTGTCAATCGACGTGCGCTTCCACGCTGAAAATCGACGCGAGACGTCGGATCGATCCGAATGAACGATGACGGCGAGCGCGATAAAGCGCGATTCGAACGCGATTTTTGACGCGAAAAAAAGAGGGGGTTGGGAAGAGGAGGAACGAGTCCTCGAGATCCTCGAGAGCCGAAGCCGGGATCGCTACGCTCGCGTGCACGATCCCCTTCGCCGATCGCCGGCCGCGATATACGGCGCGCCGCGCGGCGAAATAGAAATTGCCAATAACGGCGCGACGGAACAATACGCGCCGCTGACGTTGATATGCATTAAAGGCGTTCGCATTGTGTCAATCAGTAAATGCAGTTTATACGTGACTGACGGTATCATAGGCGGTGCAACGAGGGCGCGTCCACGCATACACGGTGTCCCGGACCGAGTCTCCTCTCCGTTTCGTTATGCGGATCTCCCGGAGCGTCCACGCTCCGGGAAGGTTTCGGCGTTCACGAACGTCCGAGAAACGCGAGTGGTCTCTCGAGAGCCGAGCGCGGCTCCTCTCGGGCGATTCAAGTCAAACTTATAGTGGATTTGTTTACGCGGTGATCGCCGCAGATACATCGCTGTATCTTGGTGCGATATCTGACAACGAAGACAGAGTGACGCTATCTGCGGCAGTCGCAGCGTAAAGCTGGAAACACACGAAAAACATTTAAGCAGTAAGACTTGAGACTTAAGAATTTCGACCAATCGGTATTTTCAGCATTGCTGAAGTTTCAACATGGTTGCTTACGTTTCGACAGTCATTAGTTTTTCCCTTAAGTCTTAAGTTTTACTGCTTATGTGTTTTCGTGCGTTTGGACCTTAAAGCTGGAGACACGAACAAATTTAAGCAGAAAGACTTAAGAATTTCAACCAATCGGGATTTTCAGCATTGCTTAGTTTCAACATGGATGCTTACGTTCCAAGCTTCTTTCGTGTGTTTGGGCCTTTAACAGATGCATACATAGCGAATTCGGTTGCTTGCACCAATACACCCTAAGTACACTACTATAAGGCTTGTTCATAATCAATTCTTGTATCCAAGGTCTTAAATACTTCAAAAACTATCTAGCAAAAAAAGATCCGCACGGATGCTGTATAAATTATTTTACTGAGAAGTATTTCAAGTAGTTTAAGACGATCCTTAAATACAACGATTCACTGTATACAAGCTCAGCGCGCACTAGTGCAAGCAACCGAATTCGCTATTACTGTAACGTTTGATCCACGAAGTACTGAAAAATTTAAAGGGGTAATAAAACGATGTCGCGCCAAATCCACGGAA